AGGTAAGGTAGGGTAAGATAGGGTCGGGGGCTGGAGAACAAGGGAAGCGGTTGCCAATGCCGGGCTGCGCCAGCGAACGGGACGGCCGAAATTACGGGACCGGCGGAAACAATGAGACCGATGGAAACGATGAAACCCGCTAAACACGTTTCCGAACGAACGGATCGGCCGATGAAGAACGAATCGAGTCGAATGTAACGTTACAGAGCTCGCGCCGCAGCAACCGTTCCGAACGGCGTTCCCGTGAAAGTCCGGCCGAGGATCGAAAGTCGCGCGAACGATTGGACGCTCGAGGAGCGAACGTATCCGAGAAAGGATTCCCCGAACGATTCGGTATTCTTCCGATGATTTCCGTGCAACCCCCGAAATTCGGCTCCGGAGGACACGCGGCGCGTGAACGCAGGATTTCCCGATTATTCGGCGCGGCGCCGGCACGCGCGCGAACCGCCGTGTTCGATCGGTCATTGGCCGATCAACAAGTGGCTCATGATTTTGTCAGTGGCTTTGCGACCGACTGGCCCGCTAGCCGACCCGTCGATCCGACGACCCACCGGCCAGCCGTGCGTCCACGCGTCCGACTGTCCGACTGTTCCGGTCACCCGCTGCGGTTTACCGCTGAAGCACCCGCACCGGTACTTTCCCCGCACCGCCGGACGTTCGTCGCGCGTCGTCCGTCGTGTCCGCGGATCACGGGAGACCCGGTCGCCTCCCGAATCTCGACCTGTAGGGTCGGTCGTCGCGGACTTGAGTGTTTCCACCGGGAAAATCCAGTCGAACTTTTTTCTCGCGCGAGCAACGATCCTCTGCCTACGTCGATGCGCGGCACACTTTCTCCGAGGCGACTTATCCACGCGCGAAAGAGAAAGCAAGCGATTTTCTCCCCTCGATTTTGCCCGATCCTGTGCGCGGTTGTCTCGGGAATATACGAAGCGAGAGGAAAGGAAGGAATGAACGAGAGAAATGGGAGAGCTGGAATAGCTCTCGTTACGGAGAGAAGTAGGAATCTTATGGTTTCCGTTGGTTCGCGCGGCACGCGATACGGCTTCCGTTTCGCCTGGAGAAGCCGAGATAAGCTACGCGTACGAAACGGCGGTCGTTCGTCGTTCCGGTCGCTCGGTCGGCGATTTCGAGGGAGCGGGAGCGTCGGAGCAGATGGCACGAACGGGACAGGCGGCAGAAGCTCGCGGAATTCGCCGATCGTTCGCGCTCGGGAGAGCAAAGTATGCGCGGTGCTCGGCGACCGGCGATCCCCGACGGGACAGGACGCGGCACGAGCGAGTGAAAAGGGTTACGGTTGAGCCGCACCGACGCGAGGACCGTGGAAGCGTTGCCTCGACGGAGAACGGTGTTCCGTCCGATCGGGCGGCGAACGATTCGGCTGATTGGAAAGGTCGCCGAGCCGGTCGTCGCGCGCGGTATCCGGTACGCTGGTCGGGGAACGAGCGTCGGTTGGAACACTAACCTTGTAAGAGAACTGGTCGAACATTCTGCAGACGTCGACGTCGTTACCAATGATCGCGTAACTGGAATCCATGCTGTCCCGGCGCTTCTTCTCGCTGCCTGGAACGAGGCTTCCGTGAATGAAAATCAATGAAAATCGGCGCGCGTGGCCGCGTGGTCGGCGGGTCTGCGGGCGAGCCAGTACCGAACAAACTAATCGCGATCGCACCGACGATCCCGTCGCTCATCTTCCCGCGGCTCCCAGCAACGGCCAGCTCACGGTACGCCGATTCCTCTTCTCGCTAGCTTCGCCGGCGACTCTCCTCAGTCTACGGGAGACACCGCCATTCGCGAGTCGCGACACGAGTCCGCTGGAAAGCGCCCGGTTTCTCGTCGGTCGGAACGTTCGATCGGAGGCGAATCGATCTCGTCATCGGACCATCGCGGATCGAGGATCGCGCACACGCGGTTCGCCGCGATCGATCCACCCGATCGATCGACGGGTCGACGGAGAGATCGCACTCGGTTCGATCGATTCCGCTCTGTACTTGGATCCGCAGCCGATCCCGAAGCCCGAGCGTACGCGGCTTAAGCGAGTCGCGAAGAGAATCGCACTGGCGCGGCGACCGGTCTTCCCGCGTCGGATATCCCCTCGATTATACCGTGAAAATGGTCGATCGGTCGGATACGTTGCGAGCCCATTGCCGCTTCCTCCGCGGCAGCGTAACACGCCGGGAAAGATCCAACCGGATCATCGTGTCTCTCGGGTTTCTTACGGTTTCCCTCGTTTAACACGCCACGAATACCGATCCCCCGGGGTTCGCTTCCGTTGCGCGCCGATCGCGTTCACCTATTCCTTCACAGAGAGAGAAAGAGAGAGACAGAGAGAGAGAGAGAGAGACAGAGAGAGAGAGATAGTCCTCGTCCGCGGTACACGGTAATACGTTCGTCACTGGAATCGACGTAATCGCGGCATCGGTTCGTTCTCTATTGCCAGCGGATCGGCGGTATCCAGGCCAACCGCGATCCAATCCCGACGCGAGATTCCCACTATCGTAACCGTTCGGAATACCGGTTTCTCGACGGAGCTCTCCCGGAGCGAAAGCACGTGTCCGACTCCGAAACGAAACGAAACGAAACGGAACGGAACGGAACGGAACGAAACGAAACGGAACGACTCGACTCGACTCCGAGAACCGACGGATAAAACTAACAGCGGTTAATCGCCGGACGGAATCGAGGCCGCGAACGTCGCTACACCACTGTCGATTCCATTTCCGTTCAACCAGCTAACACCGACTGCGATCACCGACTGCGATCACCGACTGCGCACCTGTACCGGTACCGGCAACGACAACGGCAACATCGACGCTGAGAGCGAAAGCAACCAAGTTGTCCGTGACGTCGGTGGTGGTGCCGCTACCACCGCCACCACCGCCGCCGCTGCAGCTGCCGCCGCCGCCGCCGCCGCCGCCGCCGCCGCCGCCATCGTTTCCACCTCCATCTCTTCCTTCGTTGTTGCTGCCGCCATCGCCACCATCGTTGCTGCCACCGTCACAGCCACAGCCACAGCCACAGATACAGGCCACAGCCACCGCACCGTACAGTTACGCGATTATACGGTTATACGGTTAGCCAGTTAGACGATTAGACGGACGATTACACGATTACACGGTGACAGCCGCGTAATCGGCTATATAATACCTGCGGTACCGAGCGCGATCACGCCGGCCGAAGAAAAAATTCAGACGCTCCCGATTTTCCCGCTTTCTTCCTCTTCTCCCTTACACCCGCGAGCGACTCGTCGAATTACACGCGGACAAAGAGAGTCTGAATCAACGAAGGGAAGCAGGGGAACGTTCGAAGGGGTCCGATCAATGTTGCGCAATCGTATCGCTGTTGCGAACATTCTAATCGCGGTACGTTTAGAGACATCGTGCCGATCTCGATCGCTCGGTCTCCTGCGCGGAATGTATCCGCCAGGGCGCGAATCCGGGGAGGCTGGGGAAGGAAAGGGAACTCGGGTCGCGAGGCGAGCGACAGACATCCTGTTTTTCCCCGAGCGGATTAGCTCGGAAAGCCCGGAGAGATCGGCCCGGATCGACACCCAGGAGCTCGCGGAATCAACGGAAACGGTCACGTGGATCGCACGTGGGTTTCATTCATGAAAGTCGCCCGTAGGTCTCGGAGGTGTCGTCAGCTGTGTGTTAGCGGTCGGTGTCCGTCGGTGTCCGTCGGTGTCGGCTGCGGTGGATAGTGGTAGGTTATGGCGAGCGACGGCTGCCGATAGCCCGTCGTTTCGACACGGGCGAGTTTGCTCGGCTGGCTCGCAGGAACGCGCGGACGCGCGGTTCTCCTCGACTTTTACGTAACACGTAATCGGTAAATCATCGAAACGGTGAACATTCAAAGACGATAGGATTTCGGTCGAATCTGTAGGTAGTTGTTTCTAGTACTACGCTTCCGCTCCCATCGTCGCAGTACCATACAATAAATCGGTAAATCATCGTAATGGTAAACATCGCGAATGACGAAAGGATTCGAATACGAGTTACCGAGCTCCTGTCGCGTTCTCCTCTTCTCGACGAACCTGTACCCTCATGATTGTCCAACGGTATTATACAACGCGTAATCGGTAATCGTAATGGTAAACATTCCAAGCGAACGACGCGAGGATCCTCGAATCGCGTAGGTGCCAGTCACCGGAGCCCCTTCGCCGTTCTGCATCCCTCGGCTTCCCGATCTCCGAAAATGATTGTTAATCATCGAGAACTCATACCTCGGGCCATTCGTGAACGCGAATGGGCCCGATCAATCGTCGAACCCGACAAGGTCTGCCCTCGGTGCCGCTGTTTCTCCGAACGAATCGAGCGAGCGGTAGCTGCGAGTTATATGTCTCGTGACGCGTATATCTCTCCGCATGTCTGCCAAAGCATCGTACATACGTTTAGATTTCCGAGTCTCGTCGAGCGCGCGCATATCCCACGGGAATCAATATCCGCGTGTACCTCTCTGCCTTCCTCTCCCTTCTTTCCCTTCTTCACCGATCTCATACTCGGCCTCGTGCCTCTTGCCTCTTGCCTCGCGCATCGCACCTCGCGCCTCCTCGCTCCGCTACTCGACAACTTATCAACCGTCCGCGTTCGCGATCGCTACTCTCCCTTTCTCTTTCTGCGTCTCCGTCCT